TGCTGGCTCCTGCACTTGCTTCTCTAAAAAGGGCCCCTTCCCATCTCTGTCACCCTTCCAGAACCATCTCAAGTGCCTTAAACCTGACTCCTTTCCCCCAAAGCTCTGTTCCCAGTTCTCTTTATGGCACGTGCCTCAGAGTAGCTTCTCCATGTGATGGATGTTCTCCATCCTGTATATCCATCCAGATGAAAGGAGCTAACAAAGATAGGTGTCTAGCTTACCTGGCAAACAGTAAGCCCTTCCTTTCTGTGCCCGCCATAACTGCCATGCTGTCTTACTCTCTGGCCGGGTGGTCTTGGCTTGTGGCCTTTGCTGACTCCTATCCCCTGAGACCATGTCCTCAGTGCCCAGGAGGTTGACCCACAGGCACTACTGTGCTCACTGGCAACCATCACTTCTATCAATGGGAAAATGACAGGAGACAGGGCAGGGTACTTATTCCCCAAGATGCAAAGTCTTCTCCAGGACTATAGGCTTTGATGGATAACCATGTGCTGAATGGGGAGGCAGGAGAGCACATGGTCCAAGGCAGGCCCTGGGTCAGAGGCCTCAGCGCCTTCCCTGCTCCGCTGTCACTTGCTGCAGTACATCAGCAAATTAATGAACATTTCTGAGTGTCAGTTTCTCACATATAAAGCAGGATAATACTTCTTCCCACTTTTCACAGGGCTAGTTCCTGTAGATTTTTATTTACTTGCTTTCTGTCTGTCACCCTTGCTAGAACATGAACTCCTATTTACCATGACTACCATGATGCCTCCCTCATGGGAGGTCCTCAATTATTTTTTATTGAGATTCATATAACATAAAATAAACTACATTAAAGAGAATAATTCAGTGGCATTTTGTGCATTCACAATGCAGCATCTAGTGCCAGAACATATCCATCACCCCAAAAGGAGATCCTGTAACGAATAAGCAGTCACTCCTCATTCCCCTCTCTGTACAGCCGTGGCAACCACCAATCTGCTTTCTGTCGCTATGCGTGTGCCTATTCTGGACATTTCATACAATTGGAATCACACAATATGTGATCTTTGTGTCTGGCTTCTTTTCTCAGTACTTGACGATGAATGCAAGCTTGAAACTTTGGTTCTGCCTCACTCCCAAATGGGGGGGACCCATCACAAGAGGACACAGGGAATAGGAGGTGTGATGCCTGGGAGGAGCCCAGGTGGGTTACCTTTTCTAAGGCTTCTTCATTGCCCTCCACCATCTTCCGGAGCTTTATCAGCTGCCACAGGTCCTGGGCAGGCCGGTTGGTCCCTTGGCTGCCCTCCAGCAGCATGGAGGTGGAAGGCATTTCATGTAGCATGGTCAGCTGGCTCTCTATCCTCTCGATACGGTTCACCACGTGGTCGAAGACATTGCTCAGCCTCTTCAGGGGCTGGACGGTGGGCTGACCATCTCCTTCCCGGGGCATTAACATGTTCGGTGAGGTCTGGAGGAAGTCCTCATCCCCTGAGAGGACCTTCTTGAGCTCAGCCATGTTGATGTGCTCCAGGATGCCATGGAGCACCAGGTGCAGGGCCTTGAAGTTCACCACACCACACTGCGGGATGGCAATGTTGACCAGCTCAGAGAACGAGAGCGCGAAGATCATATTGCCAGGGAGGTCAGCCGAGCTGGGGTTTGGGGCATCCATGGGGACGAGTGGTGGCCTTCAGTGGACCACGAGCTGCACAAACAAATGCTCAGAGACCCGGAGAGGCTATAAGTCACGGAAGTCAGGGGGAAAATGGCCTCTGTCCTGGCCAGAGCTCAGATGAGAGTTTTTGGTTGCTAGGATACCAAAGAACCTGGCAGTGGGCGTGCTTCCGAGGGTCTGGAGTGCAGCAGAGGAGGTACTCAGTTAATAGTTGATGAATGTCTGAACAAACGGCTGTTTCTTTTAATTCAAGCCCTTTGATTATGTAAGACCCAATGATCCTTTCCAAGAAGCATGCCGGGAAGGTGACAGAGAGGCAGCTCGCTTCTCAGAAGTCTCTAGAATCAGAACAGGAAAGTTCTTGGAGTTAGGAAAGCCCAGGCTTCAGGAACAGAACCTGAAGAGCTGCTGGTTGTGGGACAGTGGCCAAAGGCCACACAGGTGTTCATTTCTGGAGCAGGAAGTTGAAAAGTGCGTGACGTAGTGGCTTTCGTCAGTTCTGAATTCTGCATGTCCCTGCCCCCCCTCCCCAACCCCCAGAGACATGAGTGACCTCCTGAACTCGGCTGTGCTCCTCCTTGAGCTGGGACTCATCAAGACCCCAATGCTCTAAAGTCTTAAGGACATGGCCATGAATCAGCTGCCGTAGAACTCGAAGGCTGCCTGGGCTGCAATATATTCAGGCCCTGCTTTTGTCAATTTCAGGCAAGAAAATGGCAGCCCTGCTGGTCCTGGTCTCCTAGGACAGCCTGCAAGGAAAGCCCTGACTCA